ATCCATTCATAAATTTCACTTTTCCACTGTGGATGGACCCCAATTTTGAGTGCTCTAAATCTCTTAGGTTAGTAAAAGCCAACCATTGACTTAGGAACAAGGTAAACACGAACATAAAATTGAGGTGCTGGCTATAACCCCCTCATTGGTGAAAACCACTGTGTTCAGGGGTTTTTGAAATGAGTCTATCTTAACCCCAGGATCAACCCTACTTCAAGCAAATATCAAACTGTTGCACCATGACACCATGTCTAGGCTCTTGATTTCTGGTTTTGTCCCAGCTGCATAAATAAATACTGCTCTGTGGGGTAATGTTAATCCACTCAGTATATCTGATGCAAATACAGAGGACTGGTTCTTCAGGTGAGGCTTGGGCTAAGGTTGTGCCTCCTCCTACAGCTTGAGGTCCTTTATCTACTGAACTCTTGCATCCCACTGTTGCTCTCACTGTGTTAGTTGAAAAAAGACAGTGATGTGATGAGGAGGCATAAAGTCTTCAATACTGCACTTTCCTAGTCCAGGAGGAGCAGGTGATGGTCTGGGAACACATACTGGCCATTACTGCCTGTGGCTCTGACAACTCACTCCCACCCAGTACATTTTGCTTCTTTTTAGAGGCACTGGTCACAATTTAAACTTCACCTCTGTTCACTTCATGTCTGTGTTCATACTAAACTCCTTGAAGACAGGAGCTATGCCTACTGGTTCACTATGGAATTCCCAGTTCCTGTAAAGGGTCCTGAATATAGAAGTTCAATAAGCATACTAATTACATGAAATAAACAATAGTTATCAATAATGATCATTCTTCCTCTAAAACACTTTGCTGTCAACAAAATACTTTTACTGGTGTCATTTGATGCCTACATCAAACAAGGAAGTAGAGGCCCTGAACACTGAGACTGGCTTGTGTCATCTTACTCAGTTTGCTAGACCCAGCTGTGAACAGTGCAGAGGTTTTGGAGAGCCAGTTGTTACATTATTAGAACATGAAATTAGACATGGTGTGGGTATCCACCCCAGAGCTCGACAAGTCAGGGTTCTTGTTCTGCAAAGAGCAGGTTTATCAGCAGATTGGTAGCAGAAAGTATGTTCAGAAATATTTTGTGAATAGGTAAATGAAGATCGTTGTAAATTTGGTATGGCCCATTTTCAGGAGGCTGGAGAGACCCTTCTGGTTCCTGAGCCTCATTGCTTAGTGAGATATTGAGTCCAAATGCACTTACTTATTTCAGCAAGTATTTTTTCAGGGCCAGCTTTGTGCCAGAGATGTCCTGCCACCGCAACTGGCTGAGTAGTTCGTGGTTGGTTAAGATGAAGCAGGGTTCCTAGGGGCTCTTCTTCTAGGATGAGGCTGCCCATGTTTTGCTGCCCAGAACTGCCCATAGCCATGTCCATGGTTCATGTAGTTTCCTATGTAAGATCGCCTTACAGAGCGTCTGTCATGAGCAGGGTTAAATCTGAACCCCAACCTACTCTAGGGTCCTCTTTGATAGAGGCCAGTTTTTATATATTCATAACATCTACCAGGATGATGGTGTGACCAGGGAATACACAGACTACACTGGCAAAAGCATGAACATTACCCATATCTACACGGGTCTAATTATGTGCCATATTTGTTTAACTCCAACTTCCAAATTCTTATGTTGAAGTTCTAAGTCCCAGCACCTTAGCATATGACTAACTTGTAGCAGATCTTTAGAGATATCATTAGTTAAGTAAGGATAAATCATATTGGAGTAGTGTGGACTTCTATTCCAAGATGATCATTACATTTATAAAAGTGGAAATTTTGACCTGAATACATATACCAGGAGAATGCCAGGTCAAAATAATGCAAAGAACTGGGTGACATTTATACATCCAAGGGACACCAGGGATCACTAGCAAACCACTAGTAATTAAGACAAATGCACGGAACAGTCTTCCTCATAGTCCCCAGAAGCCAAACTGCAGACATCCTAATTTCAGACTTTTGACCTCCAGATCAGTGAAACAATATATTTTTGTTAAATCTCCAGTTTTTAGGACTTTGCTAGAGCATCCACAAGAAGGTAATACAGGTCTCTTGCTTTGCCTCCAAACTGGGCAGTACTGAATTGGAGCCTGAGTGACATCACAAAATGATAATGGTTAGAATCAAACACCAATGCCCCTGGCATATATCTCAAATAAGAGGCACTGGATTTGGGGTCAATCCAGCTATGGGACCTATACAGCAACCACAGACACTGGCAGTGCTCTGGCAGCAGTGAGTTGCATCATCACCAGACTTGCGTCTGACATGTGCTCAGTCTCAGGATCCGGATGACAAGGAGGGTTCCATAGTGACAGAGGGGTGGAAGGGTGTGGGCATGGACCACTGACCTATCTCTGGGACTTCATGTAACTCTTCAGCCTCAGTATTGAATTTTCCTCTGTCCAGAGAAATGATATTTTCAGCAAATCCACCATGAAGAAATTTGATCCAGGTTGTCAAAAAAGGATGAAGTGGGTCAAATATTGATCTTTGCCTTTCAATCCTTCATTCAACCCCTTTTGGGTGACACATGAATCTAGATGTCATTTGCTTTTATTTGGCCCCAAGTATAGAGACTGGCATGGAGCAGACATTGATCAAACACCCTTTGTCCTACCTTTGCATTCCCTAGGCCTGATTATCTGGTGTGAGGCTGACAGAAGGTGATTCCCTGAATGATGATAGGCTTCCATTCTGAACTGCTTAACTCTCTGTCCTGAATGGGATCCCCCGGATGTGGTCTCTTGGAATCTTCAGTGCTATGTGACAGAGATGACTCTGCAGAGCCCTGCCTGGGCTTGACCAGCAGGGTATTCATACTCATCCATTCATTTATTCCTAGCTTTTCACGCATCCACGCTTTGCCTGTACACACACTCTTAAAGGGAGACTGGAGCTGGGCATGCTGGTGCACACCTGAAATACCAGACTTAGGAGGCTGAGGCAGGAGGATTGTTGTGAATTTCAAGGTTGGGTTGAGCTACATAGTGAACTCAAGGCTAGTCTAGACTACACAACAAGACCCTGTCTCAAAAAAAAAAAAAAATGAAGACTTAAATCTAATGATTCATCAAAACTCATGCTCAGGAGAGGCGGGGCGCTTTTCTGCTATAATTCTGTACATGCCGATGCCTTTCTCCAGCAGATCAGCAATTAACTCTGGAGGAGCCAGCATGGAGAGCCTATTCGCCTCTGAGGACTGTGGTCCTGAAACTTGCAGGAAAATATAATTTTAGATATTATCCCTTTGACCCTGTGTGTGTTTATTATATCACATGTTGCAGTTCTTAGGTCAGAAAACAGGACCCAATAAATTACCCGTTAGAAGGGTCAACACCCTGGAGGGTAATGTTATAGACCCACATACCTGGAGGCAAGCAGAGCAATTGCATGGACCTCTTCCTTTTCCAGAGGGCAGAAGGTATGGGGGAGCAATGGAGTGGCCTCTTGGTGAAGGAGTTTGGATATATTTACTTCTCTCTCCAGCTGTCTGTTAAAGTGGGGTATCACAGACGCCAACTATTCTGATTGCTATCTAGAGCCCTAGTGATACTCAATTGATGACGCTCTTCCTTCTACGTTATCTGCTTTCTTCATTGGAAAAGTCTTCCAAGGCCTGTGATTTGTGTCACTTTTGCCTGCAAGCCATCAATTCTGGTCTCAGGAAAAATATTTTCTCTCTTTCCACCCAGTATCCCGAGATCCTGAGAGGAAACAAGTTAGGGACATGCTGACCTCTATGACATATGTGAATTCAGGGTGACTTTTATCATAGTGAGTCCTAGTGTCTGGGTCTTCTCTTTCCTCCCTCATCTTCCCTTAGGTACCTATACATTGTGCTGATTTTCTTTCAAGGCATGTGTTACAAGTCTTAGTGCATGTTTTGTCAAATAGCTGTAGATTATTCTCTTTGGCCCCATCTCTCCTTGTCTGAATCACCCCCTCCACTTATCTATATGTGTATTATCCTCTGTATGACTATGCATGTATATATATATATATATATATATATATATATACACACACACACACACACATATTCACGTACATATGCATACATACTTCTTCAGTCATTGATTTGTCTGTATTTGTCCTATGATTATGTGTCATTTATATTTATAATTTTTATATCTTTCTAACTATATTTTTGTATAATTTTTAAATCTTTGTAATGAAACTATATATGCTGTGAATAAATGAAGGGAATAGAACTCAATTTTAGTGTGTGTAGGTAGGAGGCAGTTGCTGTTAAAAATATCAATACTCTAACAAAAAGATAAACCTGATTTCTAACCATTCAACCTTGTAATAGGTTAAATGATAACAAACCATTCATTGATTTTGTTTTTTTTTTAAAAAGAGTAATAAACAGAAACATGTCCCAATTGAAAGAGTCAGGCAATTCAATTATAATTAGGGAAACAAAAGCGATGAGCCTGAACAATGCTGCATTCATTTTTTGGCGATAAGTGCTGAAAATGCCTGCTACATAACAAGGCAGTGTTTGTTCTCTCATTATTAAAGGCACTAACACTAATCACCTCGTATTTGAAAGCTATGTACCAATTGACTAAAGCACAAAACTCAAATGATGGGTCTAATAGACATACTTACAAGAAAAACACGCACTTAAGCATAGATCCAAATGCAATGAAAATATACACCATAATAATATTTGAGTGAATTATATTCCTCACTGCACTGATTAACCCACCAGTCTATCCAGGCATCCACCCATCTCTGCATCCATGCATCTATTCATTTATCTATCCATCCAATAAATATGCTATAAGCTTTTATGCCTTAGGCATAGTGAGAGTATTATATACTTAGGATGGATGGTCTAAACCCAATGAAAATAATAATTCTTTATCCTTGGTTTTAGGTTTTGTTGCCTAAACATTCATTGTGTAGTCAGAGGAAAAAGTCCTTACACTGCTGAAGAACAATTAAAAACAGACAAGTCATGCCAACTTACCTTTCGTAGCAAGACGAACACAGTTGATTTTGGTTTCCTGTGAACAACAAAAGGAGACACCAGTTAATTGGTTGTTAGTTATAAAAGACTGTTACATTATATATAATATTTATGTATTTGCATTCATGCACATATGTATTATTACTATAATTTAAATTGTTATTGTAATTTAAAAATTGTCTTTTTCGTTTTTCCCCATTAGGATCACCTTTTGATTCCATCTCTTTCCATGTCAGGCTTGGAACACACATCATTCTGTTCATTTCGTGTCACCTACCACCACTTTATAAATCTTTTTCCCAGACAGAACCACTTTGTCAACAAAGCAGATACTTCCAAGTATCCCAAAAGTTTAACAGCACACTTAGTAGGTGTGTCGTAGTTTGCAGGTGTGAGTTGTTCAGGTGTGGACAGAACAAGGGCCTGCTTTGGGAACAGTCACAAGCACTGAGGCATCTGAATGCATAGACTAAAGGGATGATTGGCAAGAGCCCAGTCCAGATGAATCATGTAAGAATTAATCTGCAAAGTTTGTTCTCAAAAAGTCACTATGGCCCTGACATCTCTAATAGGCCTCACAGTATTCCTGTATAACAAATGTGTGTGTGTGTGTGTGTGTGGTTACTACATCTTTGCTGCGTAAACTACTAGTCATTGTTGGCTGTTACCCATGTGAACAGGAGTCAAAAATCTGTGTTGTTTGGGGGCATCTAGAAGAGTTACAGAAATGTGTGTAGGAAGGAAATTATTTTAGCTTCACTGGGATTCATTTCCCAGAGGCCATAGACAAGGTGAACATTCCAGAGAACTAACTATATCCCCAGCAATAGTGTCAATGCAATGCAGCAATGAAAATAAGAGCAAAGAATGCATTGGTGTGAGGCCCCGAACTAAGAATCTTTCAAGAATCCAGTGTTCATCGCGTTGCTGGTCACTCACAAGTAACCCACTGCATCTTGAAGGCATTTGGGCTAATCAGGGTAGAAAAGGGTATGTTACAGTAACAAAACCCAGAACCTCAGTGGCTAGAGACAACAGCAAGAATTTATTTTCTAGTCAAACTACACATCCAATGTTTGGGTCTAAGGACCGGAGCCAGGGTCAGGGATTCAATTATCAATGTAATTACTTAGAGACCAAGGCTGGCAATTCCATTTTAACAAAGGGGCAAAAAGTGGAAGAGTCAAGCTCTGACAACAAAATTCTTTACTCAAAAGCCACACTTTCACTTCTACTTAAATTTCATTGACTAGAACAAGTCGCATGGCTCTGCTCAATTTCACTGAGGTGGGGAAATGGAACCATGCATGCACTCAGGAGTAGAGAACAAAACAGTAGTATTCATATTGGAGTTTATTCCATCTATGTGCACTTCTGAATGGTAGAAGCCATTACTGGTAGTAAACCCAAGATGAACCCCATAATTATTCCCGATGGTCTTGATTCTAGACCTCAAATTTTATAGAAAATCTGCCCTTGCTTGTGCAGGAAGATGTCTGATTATTGAAAGATGGTTTTCAGTTTCATTAATATTCTAGAGCAAGTCTTTATATAATTAAAAGTTTAAATCTTTTGGGGTATCCTGATTACTCATCCTGAGACACCTTCCACTTTATCCCTCTCAGTGAACAGTGGCTGGAATAGGGAGCAACAATTTTTGTGTAGCATAGCCTATAACGATCTTATGGACTCTCATTATTTTAGATTTGTATTTCTGAGTTTCTGGTAACACAGCCAGCATCCTAGTACAAGTGCAGGCTCATATGTGATATCATTCCAACAATATTATCATATTCTCTAGGGAGAAAATCAGATGCAAAGTTTTGGAAATATTTTTTTGCCTTTAATTTCATCCATATAAGTAGAAATGTGGAAAATGCCAATAGCATGGTACTGTGGTGTATAGTAGTCTCCTCCATCTGATTCACACTTATCTGAACATCAGACTCTTGGAGCTAACTACTCACTTGAATGAGTAGTTAGCATTCAGATCTCCTCAATTGCTTAACTGCTTGTGCCTTGTATTTTTCTATAATAATAGCTTGAGAATAAGGTCAAATTCATTTCAGATCCTGATCCTTTGTCTACTGCATTTCTCTAATTTCATCTTAAGAACCCTCTTAAAGAAAGAAGGTTGGGTTGGCATGACTTGTTCTTTGGAACAAGTGTTTTCTTGTCTTTTTTTTTTTATAAGAAAATGTCCTTTTTAAAATGAATAATTGTTTCATTTTCTAAAATAGAAAATTCAGAAATGTTAAAAAGTATCCCCAAGAATGATTCAACTATATAAACTATTCAAAAGAAATTTCAACTATGCAGTTTGTTAATGAAAAAGATTTTTATAAAGGAACACATGCAAAAGACATGAAGAAAGACAAATGATTTAACATGAATGTAAAAAATAAAAGACAATTTACTAAATATGACATTAGTAAAGCTTGAGCCACAAATAAGTTAAAACTGACAATGATAAAAGTGAGCAAACTAGTTTTTGGATCTTCGTTTTTGGAGAGAGAACAAGTTCCTCAGTTCTTGTTGACTTTCATTTCTGTGCTTTGGTTGAAAGAAGCTGAAATGGTTAAGAAAAATGTGAAACCTAAAGAACTGAAAGAGATCTGGGAATAGCGGTGCCGCACCTCTGCGTGTCTCTGAGCCTTGTGTACAGTGGTAAAGGTGAGAGACCGGAGAGTCTAGAGGCTCTCCAACTCCATACTAAAGTAAAGAAATAAGGTTCTGCAAATGCTATATTAGGAAACTCGCCAGTTTGTCCATGATTTTTGAATACAGTGATGGGTACAGGTTTGATATGACCAAGATTGCAGGGAATAATTTATAAATATAATGACAAAAAGTAAATGTAATGACATTTGGTGTCCAAAGGAGAAGGGTTCCAGAACGCTCATGAATATCAAAATGTAAATGTTCAAGTCCCTTAAGTCAGCCCTCCATTGCCACAGATGCTGCAACTGCCAGTACAGAGTTGACTGCAAGCAAGCTAAGCTTAAAGAGATTCAATTGAATCTTTCTACAACTAAGAATTTATTCTCAGTGAATAACCTTAAATGAACAAAGAACATTGTATTCAAAAAATGTTGGTTTGTTGGTTCGAATATTCTTTGTACAAGTGTAACAACTCCATACAAGGAATGTAAATAGTATGTACTGAAAATATGTTAACAAAAAAAGAAATGGGATTGTTATGGATTAAAAACTGGTGGCCAATTTAACACCAGCTGAATTAAACCAGCATGGTGTTGTGTGTAGATGGCCCATCTGAGGAAAGTTGCCAGCGTAAAGAGAGATGTGGAGAAGAAGAGCAAGGTGTAGTGGGTTATCCTAAATGTTGCTCTTTTGAGCCATTGGTTCTCCTGGAGGAGCTCATCATGACACCAGCTTCCCAGTATGAGTTTGGCCATCATCATCAGAGGAGCTCAGGACTTTATTGATGAGAGTGGCTGTGGTCACTTTGGGGAAACTCTGGTCCTTACACTGAGCATCACTTCCTGGCTCTGGAGGGGAAAATGTGTGCTGTTTAATCTCAAGGAGAAGCTTGTCACACTGGTTTTCTGGCATGTACTTGACTGTTATTGTTGGAGGACCTCAGGACCTCTGTGTTGCTTAGGATGGCTGTGGTACTTTTCAGGGAAGCCCTAGTCCTTATTTTGAGTGTGATTTCTCGGCTCCAGTCTAGAACCCTCAACCTACCATCATAGCTCCTTCACTCGGCTGGCATAGACTTTCTAGCTTCCACCACTGACCTCTAGGCCTTCCCAGTATATATGTAAAATGGACTGCTGTGAGTCCTTGTCATGAGCTCTAGATCTCCAGTTGGACTCATGCGACACACTGTCATGGGCCCTAGGTCTTCAGCTGGACTCATGCAGGACATTGCTGTGGGATACAGGCCCTCAGCTGGATTTTCTAGGTCTTTAGTTTTGTGGACAGATTTCCTGCACTTTCTTGCGTTTCACTCTAGATGACCATCATAAAATAGTATTATAATTGTGATTTGTAATTAACAATTTAATTCACCAGAAGGTCAGCAGAATGACTTGATTGTAATTGTTCTCCTCACAACCCCTGATCACAACAGGGATCAAGGGATAGAAGAAGGGGGAAGGAAAAAAATGGAAAGCAGATGGAGAAAGGAATGAATATGTATTATGTGCACAAACCAACTTCCCACAAGGAATATAAACATTGTGTAATGTACACAGGTACTAATAAACTAAAGTAATAAAAAATTTGGAAGCAACATATTTTTCTAACCATATAAGCATAAAAGCAAAGTTGTGGTTTCTCTACACAATGGACTATTTTAAAGAAAAAATGATTTCAATGTCTATACAATAACAATGAAATGGCATGCATAAAAATTATTAAATCAAATCACTATTTTATTACAACTAATGAGTAAATCTAATCATTAAAAAATAAGTCCCGAAGAAAACATGTTAACCTTTATTAATTATTTTACTGTTACATTATAACATAAATACAAATAAGTACACTCAGTTTAGCAAATTTTTTCACCAAATAAACATTACCTCTGTCCAGCACCCAGGTCAAAACATCAATAACCCTCCTTCATACTCCTTCTGGTTATTTCTTTCCAACAAAGGTAGCCACTAACCTGCTTTCTTTGGATGCATTCTCTTCAAAATGTAGTTACATTGAAGGGAATCTCGGGTAGCTACAGAGCTTTATGATACTATCTCTTCTTGTCCATTGTATCGTGTGTGAGAACTTTCTAGCTCTCCCAACAAACATCTCTTCTTCAGAGACATGTACAAAAACATGCTGTTTCTCAACACCATCTCTTCCACTCTACACTTCAAAAAATCTGTTCTCTGTAAATCTAGAGTGCATGTCTGATTATGATTAAATCTTCCTGACACAAACATGACGCTGACATGTTCACTGTTCTAAATTCCTGACAATTTTAGTTCCGTAAGTAATTTGTCATTGTTGGTTAGAATTAGGCACAGAATAACAAAGTCCCAAGTCACTCTCCTGACCTTCTGGTGAATTAAATTG